TGTCTGTAGCTGCTGGTGAGACCCCCGAGCTGCGCTATTGCTTCAGCACACCCCAGTATGGAGACGGGAGGTCGGCGGGCAGGAGCGTGCGGCACAGCCAGGACCAGCTCCAGCGGTCCCGGATCCCACACTGGTCCCTCCATCGTGACCTTGCAGAGCCGACAGGCCCTGGCCATGTGGCAGATCCTTGATCTAAATAAAAAGTTATGGGTTTCTGTTTGTTTAGAAATGGAATTTAACGGTGGAGCCAGGGAAAAGGTGCCCATCGCTGGCGTGGAGCACCGCTGCAGGCTGAAGAAACGGGTTTATGTGAAGGGAATGATTGTTTCCTTCAGTCAAAGGAAACCAGCTGGGGGGGGGCTCAGCCCGAGGTGAGGGCTTTCCCCATTTGCAGGGCCTGGGCAGAGACACTGCGCAGCGGTCACCGTCCCCACACGCCCACCCTGTCCAGGAACCTAACCTCAGCAGATCACTCTGAGGGCAGCCTGGGCAGCCCCGGGGGGGCCCTCTCTCCCCCAGGACAACGTCAGGCTCCAGCTTAGTTTGTGTCTTTTTAAGCAAGAAAAAATAACTTCTGTTAGAGAAAAGTGTTCCATGGGTTTTCTAAGTGAAAAAACCATCCCAGGAGTACGCAGCCGTGCTACCCCGATTGTTCAGTCTTGGGGGACGCTGATGGCATCTCTGAGGATGCCACTGAAGGCTTTTGCTCGCCTGAAAAAAAACCCCGTCCACATGATGCATCACCTGCCCCAGCCCCGTCTTGGCCATCTGTCTGTCCTGGCCACCCAGCTGATCTGCGGCAGCATCCCGGGACCGGGGCAGCACGCTGCTGCCCGTGGAGAGGTAGACCTGCCAAACTCGTGGCATGTATTACTGACCAGCTTAAGCTTAAAGCTTTATGGGAATGGGGACATCTCGGATGTATGAGCAGACTCATAAGACGGAGGTGAGCAAGGATGCCCTCGGCCACCCCCCGCCCCCGGCACCCTTGGGCTGCAGCTCCGCCAAGTGGCTCCCTCCCCCCGCGTGCCGCACCCCGGGCCACGCCGGGGGCC